TGAAGTGTGCGCTTCTGTGAACTTCTCGGGGAGTGGGGTTCAGCTGTTGCGCGGGAGTCGGCAGTGTGTCGTCGATGAGGACCAGTGTTGATGAAGGACTAGCGATTGGTGTCGGTGTTGTCTCTGCTGCTGCCGATGTTGCGCCTGCTGCTGCCGATGTTGTCTGGATTGTTGCTAATGCTCTCGTTCGTTCTTCCTCAGGTATAGTGTGTGAATGCCAGAAGCCTCCAGGACTGAAGTCGGGGTCGAGGTCTGGCGGGTGTGTCCAAGATGTGAAGTTAACGATGGCGTCGCTATCGGCGGTGCCTAGGTCTGGAACAAAGTCGAGGACGAAGACATTGTTCTTCAACACCGCCTTCCCGATGTATAGTCCTCCTCTCCCGTGATACAACTTGAACTCCTGAGTGGTGCTGTCTGCCTCGAGGTGAATTCCTTTCGCCATGAGTTGACTGACGCTCAGTAAGTTGTAACCGAGTCCCTCCGCGATTAAGACCTTTGACATTTGTAGTATGACGTTGGTCTCTCGTGACTGAAGTTGAACTATGCCTTGTCGTCGTGTGCGCATGTTCTGATTGTTGGCGACGGTGATGACAACTTCACGCTGAAGTTGGTGTTCCCGTTGAACGAAGCGACCCGAGAAGCACATATGTTGTCCGCAGCAGCTGTCCAAGAACCAGGTGTCTTTCCCGGACGGCTCTCTCTGGGCGATGGTTGCGTATGTCGGATTCGGCTCCAGTGACTCGCGACGAGGGGTACTTCCATCGAGTTGTTCTTCTGGTGAGTAGTACGGTGGTGATTCGGTGATGCAGGAGTCTGACAGTCTCGCCATGGAGCTCACGATGTTTCTTGTCCCTTGTGCAGGTTGCGTTGTCGATGTTGTTGAAGTTTGAACTTGAGCAGTGGGATGCGCTTGTGTTGAGGCGACTTGGTTGCTTGAAGGCCGAAGTTGTCGTTGCGGTGGAGTTGATTGCTGTCGACTTGGGCAGTGTGTACGAGGGTGTCCAGACGTCTTGCAGAGGTGACAGAACGGTGGTACGTGTTGTTGCTGTTGTTGTTTGTTCTGTCGGTTGGAGTTGGTAAAGCGCCGTTGGGTGTGGAAAGCAAATTCGGGTACTGACGTTTTCTTCTTGTGCCGCTCCTCATGCAGGTCCATGTCTTGTTGCTCGGCGTGTATTTCGGCGCAGAGTGCCGCTTCGAAGATTTTCCCGTGAGCTCGGAGTATGGCTCGAGTGGAGCGCCAATGAGGACCAAGACCGGAGATGACGACTGTAACGAAGGCTTCCTCATATATCGAACCTCTGCATCGAAGAAGTTTGTCACGCAATTCGCGACAACGACTGATATACGCCATCCCCTTTTCGTCGGGTTTCATTTCTACTGTTGTCAGCTGTGCCATTAACCGACTCTGATTGACGCTGTCTGTTGCTTGATACAGGTTCTTCAAATGGTTGTACGCGAGCTCGGCGGAGTTGCCGTATCCCCGATAAGACCGAATATTCTGCTGCTGGTTTGGAGTTACGTTCCTCAGCAGGATTGTGTATGCCATCATCGACTGATATGTGTACTGCTGTTTGTCGTATCGCGTCCCGTGTGTTGGGTATGGCAGGGACCCGTCGAAGAATCCAAGAATCTGCGCGCCTTCCATCATTAGCTCGAACTCGAATGACCAGGTATAAAAATCCTTGCCGTCGAAAGGCGTCGATGTCTGTAGTTTTAAGATGTGCGCGAACTGCGATTGAACCTGAAGTGCATCCAGTGTCTTCTCCTGTCCAGGTCGAGGCTGTTGTTGCGGCATGAAGCTGATTGAGCCACGTTGAGGCTCATACGGAGCAAAGGTGGGTTGCTGCTGGTTTCCGCGCGCACAGGATGAGCCATCGAAACTCATGGGTGTAACGTCGTTGTTGTTGTTGCTGATGTTTGAGTGAGCAGGTGCCGCTTGCCGATGTTGCTCGTAGAAGGACATGAAGGAGAAGAATTTCTCCATCATGCTTGGGTCGAAGCCCGTCGCTTGGTTCGCGGGAGTCTCAGTGGATTCAGCTGCTGGTCTTGTTGCCATGCCTCCCTCTGTCTGCAGGCCGGAGGCTGGAGGTGGAGTAGGAGTAGTTCCAGGAGAGCCATTGGAGGAGCTTCTCTCCTTTTGTATTGCCATGCCTTCTGATGTTGTAGGGAACTTGATTGTAGTCGAATTTGCCTTGACAGCTCTCATACCATGTTGGGCTGAGAAAAGCCCTTAGGATCTTTACAAGGCTTAACTCTGAGTAGAAATGTTGTAGTTGCGGAAGCGTTTTAATGACAAGTGTTGAACCGCCTTGCGCTAGTATGTGAGGGCAAGATAGATTGATTATAGAAAAGTAATACAAGCATTTTATAAGATTACAAGGAATATGAAAGGGTGCAACTAATAACTGTTTTACTGTTGATGTTGCGGTTCGATACAGTGACGACTCGGGCAACTGCTCAGTATCGAGTCAGTTGTTTGTCCTTGCTGCCGCGCTGTATTTGTCAAGTCAAAGGTCAGCGACCTTTGACCTTCGCGTAACATCCAGCAGTTACATTTTCTGTCAACCTCCGATGGTTGACTCGCCGTTGCTTCGTTGTAGTTTGCTTCGCTTGCAGTTCAGTGTTTCGACACATCAGAAGCGCTTAAGTCACTTGTTTCCAACAGCTCTCTTCACAAATCCACCCGATGTGCTTCAGTACCGTATGTCAGAATCGTACTTAGTAGCTAGGACTTAGGGTTTGAGAAGCTAAGGAGAAACATAGCGAGAGGATGGATGAGTTGGCCAAAGAGGGGTGGATAATTAGGAACAAGGGTACAAGTAGGAGCAAGGGTGGGCACAAAGGTGCACCGCCACCCACAAGAAGCTACACTACACTACTGTTAAAGCTGTTGGCAGTTTATAAGAAAACACAACAATAGATTTTCTTCAACACACCCCCTAAACTGCCCACAGCAATAACTAGTGCAGCGGGAGGAGGAGGAAACTGGAGAGGAGAGGAGGTGGGCGGCCGCTGAAGCTGCTGGCACTGGTCGCAAACGGCGTAACTGGCTCGCTCGCCGGCAAGAGCAACTGACCCACGGGCCTCTGACGCAACGGTCTCACGGGCGACTAGAGCTGCGGACTTCACGGCGGCCACCCGTCCTCACCCCCCTCGGATTGTCCCACCCCCCCCTTGTCACACCCCTCGGCCCTAGCGCCACTCCCCAACCTCACCCGCTCCATCCCCCCTCAGCGGCAGCTGCAGTAGTGGGAGAGAGAGGAGGAGGAGGGGCAGCTTGTCACGCACTCCCACCACCCCCATACCCCCCCTTACCCCCGCCACCCCCATACCCTCCACACGGCTGCACGCGCAGCAGGAAGTCGACGGAGGAGGGGGGGGGGGCGGGCTGTGGGGCACTCGCAACGGGCAGGGCGCGGGCGGCAGGCGGGTCCAGGAGAGGGGGCGCGCGGGTCCCCGGGGGCGCCTCGACTGGCGACGGGGGGCGGCGCGCGGGTCCCCGGGGGCGCCGCGACGGACGACGGGGACGGCGCGACAGTCCCCGGGGGCGCCGCGACGTGCGACGGGGGACAGCGCGCGGGTCCTCGGGGGCGCCGCGACTGGCGACGGGGGGCGGCGCGTGGGTCCCCGGGGGCGCCGCGACGAACGACGGGGGCGGCGCGCTGGTCCTCGGGGGCGCCGCGACGGAGCGTGAAACTGCCACGCGCCCCGAGCGCATGGCGCGCCACGCGCCCCGAGCGCGTGGTGGGAAGAAAAAACGTCGCGCGCCACGGGGCGCGCGACAGACAGTACAGCAGCGGAAGCAGTTGGGCCCACAGGCCAGGAGCGTAGATGCTCTGTTACCATGTCAGAATCGTACTTAGTAGCTAGGACTTAGGGTTTGAGAAGCTAAGGAGAAACATAGCGAGAGGATGGATGAGTTGGCCAAAGAGGGGTGGATAATTAGGAACAAGGGTACAAGTAGGAGCAAGGGTGGGCACAAAGGTGCACCACCACCCACAAGAAGCTACACTACACTACTGTTAAAGCTGTTGGCAGTTTATAAGAAAACATAACAATAGATTTTCTTCAACACCGTAGTGATGCAAATGCCCTGCATCCGGGGGCAATGTTTTCAATGTGCCACCTTGAGCTGCGCTGCTCTAACCACAAGCCACGATGTGCATTCTCACTCTTTGTCCGTGGCTATACGGTACGGTACAGTACTACGGATACAGCAACAGAGAGAGAGAGAGAGAGAGTTGGCGCTTTGATACAATGAAGCAAAAAGCGCAGTCATCTTACCTACACCCATGCCTCTGGTTAACAGGGTGATTCACCCTTATGACCCTTACTATAAGGGTGGGTTTGACTATGCACCCTTTTTTATCAGAGTGGTCATTTTTTTAACCCTTTTCAAGAAAAAAATTCTTTGGTTATACTACACTGATATTTCAGAGCTATGTGGTGTAGTAAGGGCATGTTCCTACGGCCCCTTATCAGGGAAACCTCGTATCAGCTTCGCATTTTTGCCTGGTAAAATTCGCGAAGGTTTTTCGGTTTAGGGAAATTTCAGTGTGTTGTGACGCGAGCCTGATAAGAGGTTGGCCTGATAAGGGGCCGTAGGAACATGCCCTAACACTGATGTTACTGAGTTAGATCTAACAGAATATAGTAGGATTCCTCGCGTAAAATGTGGTCCCGTTCAGATACGAACAGGTCAAGTATCGAACTTGGGATACGCGTTCATTCCTCAACACAACTCACTGCAACACAAACAACTTGAGCAAATAGAAGATTTAAATGTCTTGTAAAACACAGCCACATTTTTGTACCCTTACTAGGAAGAGTAGTTTTTGTGATGCACCCTTGCAGAAAAAGTGAAAGCGGGGTGTTGGCCTTACGCGAAAGAGTAGCTCAAAACCTAACCAGAGGCCTGATCCACACATCCGCCCCACTACCTTCACCATACTCTTTTTCAACCCACAGCCTACCCTCCCCACCCCTTCCCCTCATCCCTATCAATCCTCCTCCAGATTGATCGCATCTTTGAATTTCCCATACAGCACCACCTTGAGGGCGCCCATCTGCGTCACGAGGCTGCTCTTCTCCCCCTCCAGTGCCGCCACCTCGCCACTCGTTTTCTCCCTCAGCGCCTCCAGCTGCCCCTCCACGTCGTCCTTGTCTGTGTGCAGAAACACCTCCCCCGCCATGTACCGCACCGTGTCATCGTCACACAAAATCAGTTCGTTGCTTGCGTCCTCTATGTTCTCTAAGTAGTCCTGCCAGGGGGGAGAGGCGGGAGAGGAAACAGAGGGGTTGGGAAACGCAGGCATGGGTAAAGGACAGGAACAACTCCCCTCTCTCCCCTCGCCACCTCGCCGCTCGTTTTCTCCCTCAGCGCCTCCAGCTGCCCCTCCACGTCGTCCCTGTCTGTGTGCAGAAACACCTCCCCCGCCATGTAGCGCACCGTGTCGTCATCGCACAGGATCAGCTCATTGCTCGCGTCTTCGATGTTCTCTAGATAGTCCTGCCAGGGGGGGAGAGGACAAGGTGTGGGGGGGGGGAGGGGGGGGGAGAAGAACGTGAATGGCAGAAACACCTCCCCCGCCATGCACCGCACTGTGTCGTCGTTGCATAGAATGAGCTCGTTGCTCGCGTCCTCTATGTTCTCCAGGTTGTCCTGGCACAAGGTTGGTGGGGAGGGGAGGGAGGAAGCAAGTACCGCATGAATGCCGGATGTGCCTCCCCCGCCATGCACCACACCGTGTCGTCATCACGCAGAGTCAATTCGTTACTCGCATGTTCTCTAAGTAGACCTGCCAGGGGGGAGAGTGGAGGAGGTGGGGGCGAGACAAACATGTGAGTCCCACATGTGCCTTCTCTGTGTGCAATCAGCTCGTTACTCGCGTCCTCTATGTTCTCCAGGTAGTCCTGGCACAAGGTTGGTGGGGAGCGGAGGGAGGGAGCAAGTACCGCATGAATGCCGGATGTGCCTCCCCCGCCATGCACCGCACCGTGTCGTCGTCGCATAGAATCAATTCATTACTCGCGTCTTCAATGTTCTCTAGGTAGTCCTGGCACAAGGTTGGAATGGAAGGGGAAGGGGGGGCAGGGGGGGAGGACAAGAACGTGATTGCTTGCGTCCTCTATGTTCTCCAGGTAGTCCTGGCAGGAGACAGAGTGTGGGGGAGAGAAACACAAACGTGAATGCCAGAAACACCTCTCCCGCCATGTACCGCACTGTGTCGTCATCACATAGGATTAATTCGTTGCTCGCATCCTCAATGTTCTCCAGGTAGTCCTGGCAGGGGGTAGAGTGGAGGTGGGGGCGAGACAAACATGTGAGTCCCACATGTGCCTCTGCCGCTCTGCTCTGCACCACAATGCGTCAGATACCTGCTCCTCACACAGGGCCAAACACGCTCCCTGCATGCTCCATGTTCTTCAGATAGCGCGGCCAGACGAGAGTGGGGTGGGGTGAACATCGGAGAGTGGGGAGGAATCAAGAAAGTGAAATTGCGACACTCCCGCGGCCATGAACAAGTGTACTGCAGTGTTGTTCTGTTCATTGCAGAATCGAATGCTGCAGTGCAAGCAGCACCATAAACAGGCACGAAACGCTAGTCCCATCCCATCATGTCTCCGCACCTCACCTTCATGCCGCGGATCTCATCGTTCAGTCAGCTCGTGCAGTCTACTGCTAATTCCAGTGCTTCAGTCTAGTGACTGCGACACGACACCCAGACATGAAAAGCTGGGACAACATGGTTCCCATCACATCACCTTCTTGGCTTGAAAAGCGAGTATCAGCTTCATATCTCGTCGTCCAGCTCGTGCAGCCGGTTGTTGAGTCGAGTGCCACGGTGCAAGCGACACGATATACAGACATGAAAAGCGAGTTCCCTTCCTTCTACCCTCGAATGTCTCTCACCTTCTTGGCCTTGATCTCGTCATCCAGCTCGTGCAGCCGGTTGTTGAGTCGCCTGCTGCACTGCAAGCGACACGCCACACAGCCATATAAAGCTACTCAATAAGTGCCCTCTCACCTTCTTGCCTTTGATCTCGTCGTCCAGCTCGTGCAGGCGGTTGTTAAGCCGCCCGAACTTGTTGATGTTCTGCTGGTCCTCCCATGTCACCTCGGGGTCCGCGCCCTCGCCCTGCCACACCAACCAGACATGTAACGCAAGCACACTCAAAACACTGTACAGGCTACCACAGTGTGTATTGCTGGTCCTCCCATGTCACCTCGGGATCCGCGCCCTCGCCCTGCGCAATCAGAGATGGAAGGAACCACATTCAACCACAGTCAACCACATTAGAACACTGTAAAGCCGCCCGAACTTGTTGATGTTCTGCTGGTCCTCCCACGTCACCTCGGGATCCGCGCCCTCGCCCTGCCCAATGGGAGAAGTAATAAACCGCATTCAACCACATTAGAACACTTTAAGGCCTGCCACCATGTGTTCTTCTGGTCCTCCCATGTCACCTCAGGGTCCGCGCCCTCGCCCTGCGCAATGGGAGATGTAACAAACCACAGTCAACCACATTGAACCGCATTAATAACACTGTGAGTTCTGCCATAGTATGTTGTGCTGGTCCTCCCATGTCACCTCGGGGTCCGCGCCTTCGCCCTGCCCAATGGGAAATGTAATGAATCACATTCAACCACAATAAAACACTGTACATTCTGCCACCGTATGTTATGCTGGTCCTCCCATGTCACCTCAAGGTCCGCGCCCTCGCCCTGCCAAACATTTTTTTAACAAACGTGGTAACCACCACCACAAACAAACACTGTAGAGGCTGTCAACATGCAAACCTGTATCAGTTGAGATGGGCAACACTCGCATGCCAAAAAACACGGTGTGGACGACGACAGCGCATGCTCCGCACATTCCACTAGCCCTCCCATTGCCTCTTCCGAATTAAAACCCTCGTCGTGCTTTGCGATTATCTTATGGAAAGTTTAGCACAATCAGCACAACGGGCTAACGTAGTGCTGATGTAACAAGACGGCATCCAACCATGCAGGCATGCATGGGAATATTGGAATAGGGAAAACTGCCGTTGCCTAACTCTGAATCGTGACACTTGCTCGCCTACAGTTGCTAATCACATCCTCGTTGGAAGGTGATTATCCCAAGCATCTAGGCGCCATGCCTAGACGCTATGCTAATTTGACATGGGATTCGGATTTCATTCTGCGTCGCCGTTTCCCTTCCTGCTCTGAAAGACCCCCTCTTTCTTGCGTGCATCATCTCCTCCTTACACCTGAATTCTGAACCTATCAGGTTCTGGTAATCAAGATCAAATCTCACTCTCACGTTTCTAGTCTGGATCTCTTTCTTTCTAGCCTAGCTCGGTAACCGGCTTCTCTCTGCGCCTCTGCGCCGGCTCTACTCTTCTCTCTTGCCTACTACGGCGCTACACCCGATATGGCCGGTCTGGCAGGCCGCGCCGAGTGTGGCAGCCCCGTAGTTCTGTTTCTGTTTACACCTCAGGACAGTCGACACCCAAGCGACACACACCACTACGCTCCTTGACGACACACCCCCCGACGCCGCCGCATGTTAATGCGAGCATTTCAAAAGACATCGGATCGCTATTCACGGACATGGATTCAAAGTACACAAGCGCCGTAAACTAGAGGTCTCCCGCACCCATCGGCTTGGCTCTCCTGACACGCTAGACCCAAAGAAGCGCTTTGCACCCACTGGCATAAGCCAGACCTAATCGCACGAGACATGCATACCTTCTGCATTCCAGCGACTCGATGCTTCTGCCTCTCCGCTGCTACACCAGCACAAGAAGAGTGAACGGCGGATCGGCAGCAATGGCGAGAGCGAGAGCGAGCAATGGTTCAATTCGACGGGCCTTTCAGCAGCGAACGGGGCTGTCGTCGGCACTGCTGACGAATAGCGTTCAGAAAAGAATGAGATGAACGCTGTTGTATTGGACACTGTCGTTTGCACTGCTTGCGAGCTGGAGGACAGGAGACTTGGGAACGGCTCAATGAGGCTTGGTACGATATAGAGCGGTCTATTCAGGATCTGAAATTGTTGGGTGGGTTGTTTTGCGATAACGTACTAACCTGCCGCGCGGCATGAGGTGTCGGATGAGGCGGTGAAACGGGCTGGAAACGGGATGACGGGGATGAAGAAAACGGGTACAGAAGAGAAAACGGGTGTAAATTGACACAATGAACATGCAAAAATGTATGTGTAGATTGACATAATGAACATGTACTTTCTCTAAACTCTATAAGTCCATTGTCCGTTGTAGTGTTTTCTATTGTTGTATCAGAATATAATCGTTCATACAAACATCTAATGCGCATTCAAGTCTATACAACCAAGAGCGTTCGATCCTCCTGGTTCTACGGGCAAAACTGACCAACAACCCACAACCTACTTCCGACTCTATCAAACCAAAAAAACAGACAATACAATTTGGTCTAGGAACTTAGGATGAGAAAATTTCAGATTTTCTTACTCCCTTGCCAATATACTCTGCCCCCTAGCAGCGGCTTTGTCACAATCTTGCCACACACACAAGAAACACTCCATATACAAAGACGGGTAAATACAGAAAAACAAACACTATATGATGTGGTACTCTAAGGGCGTATTCCTACAGCCTCCTATCAAGGCCACCTCCTATCAAGATTGTACTTTTGCCTGGGAAAAGTAGCGAGAGGTTTTGGGTTTAGGGGATTTTCCAGTGTGAGCTTGATAGGAGGTCAGATTGATAGGAGGATAGGAATACGCCCTAATGACAATAGGTTGCTCTGGTCAATAGCACATGGCCAATGAGAACTCGTGACTCCTGTCATACAGTTTTTTAGAACAGACAGCCTCCCCATGGCTGCCCTACTACCCCTCGGCTGCTCCCGACTCCCCCTCGGCTGCTCCCTACTCCCCCTCGGCTGCTCCCGACTCCCCCTCGGCTGCTCCCGACTCCCCCTCGGCTGCTCCCTACTCCCCCTCGGCTGCTCCCGACTCCCCCTCGGCTGCTCCCGACTCCCCCTCAGCTGCTCCCGACTCCCCCTCCGCTGCTCTCGACTCCCCCTCAGCTGCTCCCGACTCCCCCTCAGCTGCTCCCGACTCCCCCTCAGCTGCTCCCGACCCCCCCTCGGCTGCTCCCGACCCCCCCTCGGCTGCTCCCGACTCCCCCTCAGCTGCTCCCAACCCCCCCTCTGTTCCCAACTCCTCTGCGATTGTTACCAACTCCTCCTCGGCTGTCCCCAACTCCCCCTCGGCTGCTCCCAACTCCTCCAAAGCGTTCCCCATCATCCCCAAGGCTTCTGCCAACTTCACCTCGGATGCTGCCACCCCCTCCACTTGCTCTGTTGTTAACATAGCCGATTCAGCCATTTTTCCTAGATCTTCTGCCATCTTCCCCAAGACTGCTCCTGAATTCCGCTTGACTTCAGCAAGCTTCTCAAAGGCTGCTCCTGACTCCCTCTTCGACTCCCCCATGGCTGCTGCTGCCAAGTCCCCAAACGCTGCTCCTGCTTCCCTCTTGGCTGCTGACACCTCCCCCATGACCACTGCCAACTCCTTGAAGTCTTTTTCCGACTTCCTCTTGGCTGTGGCCAATTTCCCAAAGGCTGCTCCCAACTCCACCCTGGCTGCCGCCAACTCCCCGATGGCTGCTACTAACTTCCTCAAGCTTTCTCCTGACCTTCCAATGGCTGCTCCCGACTCTTCCTTGTCTGCTGACAGCTTCCCCATGGCTGCTCTGATTTAACATAGAATGCCAACAAAAGGAAACAAAGGAAATGAAATTGTAAAAGGTGGATGGTGGAGGGATAATATTAATGGGAGTTTAGTGGCGTCGCTGTCTGAACAACCGAAACATCAAAGACAATATGAAGGGAAATGTAGTCACGAGCTTGGGAGCCATCCGGCAGGTTGGGCCGAGACTTAGAGCCAACATGACCGGAGTGTTCAGTTCCCAGCCTCCATGACCAACCACTTTCGAACCTGAATATCACAGCCGAAAGCTGCCAACCAAGCTGCCCAACCACTTTGGAATTTTCCGAAGCTGCGTGGGCTAATTTTGGTGGGTGCGACGCATCGACGCAACTCAACTTCTTACTTCGAACATGATAAGAAACGAGGAATGGATTGACTAAGGGAAAGTTGGGTACAAAAGCAAACCCTAGAAAACTGTACCCCATATGTGCTACCCCACTATAGCCTACAGTAGCTATGTCATATAACTCTGACACACCCCCATAGGCAAAGTGGGGGAGAACAAGAGGTCACAAGACCAGTCAAGCAAAGCAAAGCAAGCTCAGGGTGGATCACAAAGTCACCACACATTCCGAGCACAAGTTCAAGGCCACAGGGCCAGTTCACATGCAGGATTACATATATATATAAGGCTAGACAAGCAAGAGCAGGTGTATATATATATGCAACAGTACAAACAAGGTCAAGGGGTGAGCAAGTGAGGCAAGGTAGGCACAAGACCCAGCTGAGTACAGAAGCGCTGATGATCACAAGGCGCAAGTGCCTTGGTGAAGATATCAGCAGTGTTGGCCTCAGAGGCCACGTACGCAAGCCGCAGCTGACCACGCTGCTGTAGCTCACGAGCAAGGAAGTAGCGGAGAGCAATGTGCTTCGTTCTGTGCTCCAGTCTCTGCTCTCGACACAAGGCCAGCATGGCCTTGTTGTCTACGTACAGCACTGGAGGAGAACGAGGCGGCTCTCCGAGGTCAGTCAGCAGGTAGGTGAGCCAGCGAAGCTCCTGTGCAGCCATGGTCCCGGCGTAGATCTCAGCCTCACAACTGGAGCCGAGAACAGAAGACGAGCGGGTAGCCCGCCACGAAACAGAGCCGGAACCAAGGCTGAAGGTGTAACCCTGTGACGACCGCTGCGTAGCCTGGTCGTCAGCCCAAGAAGCGTCTGCGTGCCCAGTGAGGACCACTGGACTCTGCCCTCCAAGCACAAGCCCCATGCCCGACGTACTGCACAAGTAGCGCAACACCCTCTTCGCTGCAGCCATGTGCTCCGGTCTGTGTCTCCCAGGAGCAACATAGCGTGCAAGAATGCTAAGAGGGTATGCAAGGTCAGGTCGTGTGCAGGTCATCAGGTACATGAGGCAGCCAACAAGCTCTGGGTACGGGCCACTCGACTCTACGGACTCATCCGAAGGCAGAGCTGAGAGTGAGTGGCGAGTAGGCAGAGGAGTGGCCTGAGGCGAGGAGTACGTGAAGCCGAAGCGCTGAAGGACCTGCTGCACCATGTGTGACTGAGTCAGGGTAATGGTGCGGCGTGCTCTGTCCCGGGTGATCTGCAAGCCAAGGTAGCTGCGCAGTTCACCCAGGTCTGTGCACGTGTGTCTCTTCTGCAGCTCGGACTTCACGTGGGCGAGTCCAGCAGTGTCAGCTATGGCGAAGACCAAGTCGTCGACGTACACGAGGATGTAGAACGGCGGCAAAGAAGTGTCGGTGCGCAGAAACAGCGACGGGTCGGCAGTAGAGGGAGCAAACCCAAGAGCCGCAAGTGTAGTCCTCAGTGTGTCGTGCCACTCACGCGGTGCCTGGCGGAGACCGTAGACTGGCCGCCGGAGGCTCCACTGGGTGCCAGGAGGAAAAGACCCAGTGAAGCCAGGTGGGCGACGCAGCCAGATCTCCTCGTGCAGGCTGCCCTGCAAGAAAGCAGTGCTGAAGTCAAGAGAGTGTAGCTCGTAGTCGCGGTGAGCAGCTATGTGCAGCAGTACCCGAAGAGTGGTCATCTTCGAGGTGGGAGAGAAGGTCTGAAAGTAGTCAACTCCCTGCCGCTGACTGAAGCCACGAGCCACGTAACGCGCCTTGAAGACAGGCGGAGAACCCGGCGGCCGCTTCACCCTGAAAATCCACATGCCACTGACGATGTTCGCCCCAGGCGGGGGAACCTCGTCAACGTAGGTGCCTGTGGACTTCCAGGAAGCCATCTCTGCGTCCATAGCTGCCTGCCACTGAGAGGAGTAGGGACCCTCTATCGCCTCCGCGTAAGAGCGCGGAGTCGGGATGTCAAGTGCATCCGGGTCTCCCTCAGGGGTAAGCAGTACGGACACGAGATGAGGTGAAGCAGCAGCCAAACACTGGAACTCCTCCTGCCTGTCCTCAAGGACGTCCGTGCCAAGGGCACACTCACCCCCGACGGACGGAGGACAGACAGACGCAGACTCAGCAACAAGACTAGCGGCGTAGTCTAGACGACAGCGAGCAGCAAAGTCGACGAGCTCAGTAACTAGGGCAGACGCAGCAGTGGACTCAAAGGAAGGGTCAGTGACAACAGTAGCAAGGAGACGCGTGACAGTAGGACTGGCAGCACGAAGAGAGTCCGACTCCGGGTCAGGAAGAGCAGGAAGAGAGGACTCAGGAGGAGAAGGCAAAGGGGCACGCAGAGGAGCAGTGGACGGACGCAGAGACATCCGGTGCGTGCCAGGGACAGGAGGAGGACGCTGACGCGAACCACGACCACTAGTGCGAGCAGCACGGACAGGCGACGCAGGGCGAGACGCAGGCTCACGACGCTCAGCAAGACCTCCAGTAGGACCAGTGTAGGGAGAAGGAGCGGGCAGTGGGGAGGCCGGCTGTAACTGTAACTGTGACGGGACAGGCTGTGGACACTCTAAGGGAGGAGGAGGACCAGTAGAAGGCGGGAGACCAAGAACCTGCTGAAGGAGCGGAACGAAGTACGGCCGAGGCCGCGCGGCGACTCCAGACACAGCAGGGACAGCACCAGTACCCCCAGCGGCAGCACCAGCGCCAGCAGCACCTCCAGCTCCAGTACCTCCAGCAGCACCAGTAGCACCCCCAGCAGGACCGCCTCCAGGACCGACAGCAGTAGCCTCAGCGCCAACACCCTCAGCAGCTCCAGCTCCAGTCGTACCCGCAGGCCCAGCAGCTCCAGTACTCCCAGTACGAGCACCTCCGGGACCCGCGGCACCAGCACCCTCAGCAGCCGAAGAACCTCCAGCTCCAGCAGCACGCCTCCAGCGCCAGGCAAACCACTCGCGCAGCTCCTGTGGAGAGAGTGGCTCCCGCCGAGACGAAGCACCCGGAGAACCTCCAGGCTCAGCACCGCCAGACGCCACACGAGCAGGCCCAGCTCCCTCAGGCTCCGCACCCCCAAGCTCAGCACCTCCTGGCGTGGCACCCCCAGGCTCAGCACCCCCAGGCGTAGCACCCCCAGGCTCAGCACCCCCAGGCTCAGCACCCCCAGTGGTAGCACCCCCAGGCTCAGCACCCCCAGGCTCAGGACCCCCAGTAGTAGCACCCTCAGGCTCAGCACCCCCAGGCGTAGCACCCACACGCTCAGCACCCCCAGAGTCAGCACCCCCAGGCTCAGCACCCTCAGCAGCACCAGAGTCACCAGTAACCTCGACAGGCTCGACTGCGTCTACCTGGGACACACCTGAAGGGGCAGGACCCTGAGGGGGGAGGGGGTCTACCGGGGGGGGACCTGGTACAAGGAAGAGCGGTGGCGGGGGGAGGGACGGAGTGCGGTAGGGGAAGAGGCGGTAGTAGGGGACCGACTCGTCAAACGTGACGTCCTGGGAGGACAGAACACGGCGAGAGGTGGGGTGGTAGAACTGCCACCCTGGCGCGTCAGGGGGGAAGCCAAGGAAGACGCAAGGAGCAGCACGAGGGGACAGCTTGTCCGCAGACAAGTCGCGGACAAACGCCCGAGATCCCCAGACACGGAACGCAGACGCATCGCCAACCTTCCCCGTCCACAGCAAAGCTGGGGAGGTCTCCGGCATGGAGACCCTGGGGTGAAGGTTGATCTGATGCGCCGCGTACCGAACCGCAAACGGCCACAGAAAATGGGGGGCAGCCGCATGCATCATGGACGTACGGGCGACGTCCATGACCATGCCAATGCGGCGCTCAGCAATCCCATTTTGCTGTGGAGAGTCCGGGAGCGTGAAGGTCTGGCGGATGCCTCGTGCACGACAGTAGGCTCGCAGAAGGCCAGAGGAGAACTCTCCACCTCTGTCAGAGTGCAGACGCAGAACAGGAAAGTCCGAGCCGAAGCTCTGCCTGAGCTGGAGACGAGCTGCGCGGATCCAGTCGATCCACACCTCAGTGACATCACCCTTGCTGCGCAAGGGGAAGACTGTGGTGTAACGCGAGTAGTCGTCAACCACCAGCAGGAAGTAGCGCTCGTGACCCTGTCCACGGACGCGGGCCGGGCCCCACACGTCCATGTGAAGCGTCTGCAGCGGGGCCTCTGTCGGAGGAAACTGGGAGGAGTGAGGGGCAGCCCGCTGCCGCCCCTCGACACAGGGGACGCAGGTAGGGCCAGGCCCCGGAGGAAGGGGAGGGAGGGACCGGGGAAGACCAGAGACAAGGACACGGGAGGCCATGCCTCGGAGACGAAGCAGGGAGGGGTGACCAAGGCGGTGGTGCCAGAGGAGAGTCTCGTGAGACAGGAGGCGACACGAACAGGGGGCAGACTCAAGACCAGACCTGGACGCTGCAGCAAACACCTGACCCGACGCAGCTACCTGACCAGACGCAGTGACTGGAGGGGACGCAGTGGTCAGGGTGTACAGGCTCGACCCCGGCCGACGTGTAAACGTGGCCAGGTGTCGGCCAGTCCGAGCGTCCGTGCAGTGGGTCACCCGCTGACTCGCAGGAGTGAACTGGTGAACCCCCGCATCCTGTAGGTCAGCACCACTCACCAAGTTCGTAGAGAACGAGGGGAGGTAAAGACCAGACAGGGTGCCAGAGGGGGCCGCCGGACACGGGAGGACAGTGGAGAAGTGAGCAAGGACAGGACCCCTAGAGGGGTCTGCCAGAGAGACTGCAACTGGCCGGCCAAGCGGCGTGAGTGTGGTGCGGTCTCGAAAGAAGGAGCGAGAAGCCCCCGAGTCAAGGGTGAAGGTGTGGGAGGCCGAAGCCGACGCAGAACCTGAGAGAGCAGACTCACCAGCAC